TTTCATTTTCTTTGGTAAAGAAGGTCTCAATCTACATATAATTCTGGGTATGGCTGGAAATGGAGTGTCATTTTTTAATTTCCTTGGCCTTTATTAAAAATGTCTTATTGGATTATTGCAATGAAGAACAATGTCAAACTATATTATATTTAATTTTAATGTTTATAAAATTTAATTTATTTTGTTGTTAAGTTTGTGCTTAATGAAAATGTATGGTTGTTGTTAATTAGATAAATCTACATGAAATTAAATTTAAGTGATGTAAAGAAGAAACGAAATATGCAAAATCAATTAATCTTAGCTAAAGAGATAATTAGCGGCGTTTGTATCCCAAAACGTTGCTATAGATCTGACCTTTTGCAGCATTTTTAGATACAAACGCCGCTATAGATCTGACCTTTTGCGGTATTTTTAGATACAAACGCCGCTATAGATCTAACCTTTTGCGGCGTTTGTTCAAAAAACGCCGCTATATATCTCGACATTTTGTGGCATTTGTTCCAAAAACGCCGCTATAGATCTTGACCTATGGCGGCATTTTTGGTTAAAAAACGCCGCTAACTTTAGCGACGCTAGTTTTAGCGACACTTCTTGTGGTGTTTTTCCTATCGCCGCAAGTGCTTTTAGCGAAGCTTAAAAACGCTGCTATAGGACTAAAAAACGTCTCTAAAACTCTGTTTTGCTATAGTGAAATCTTTTGAATAATCAGCAAATTCCAAAATAATTTGAATTCAGAATAACTTTTCAAAATTCTATTCAATCACAACTCGTACATATACTATAATTTCTACCGTTCTACCTTTATCTTCTTTCAGAAAATTTAAACCATTAATCGAGATTCTACTTCGTATTACTCCTTTATCTTAATTAAATCAAAATATCATTAGAAAAATACTATTATCGTTGACTTTCGCGTATGATTGGGAATTTGATTCCCTAACACATAAATATTAACGAAAACTAGTTCAACTTCAAAAATATTTCATCAAACTAGCATTAATCGCTTCGAATTCTAATATTCAATCGAAAATTAAAAAGAAATGCTTATATACTTTTAAAACAAAGCTCGTCAATCCTTATTGAGCGATCTTTATTAATACAGATCGTTTTTTGTATTCTATTCATGGAAGTTAATCGTTCGTAATTGTTTCCTATAAAATCTTCTCTTTTCTCAACTCTTTTTTTTCAATCATCATCATATTGTAGTCTTTTCGTACCTCTCTGAATCGTTAACTTTGAACAACCATCTATTAGGGCTAACAACAAAAATATCAAATATGTAACCGAAATTATTATAAATCTTTGATAGCGACTTATACGCTATTTATCCTTGCCTTTGTTTCCCTAAAACATTTTACCATCACTTTATATTCGAAATCAATTCTAATCTGACATTCCTCTATATTGATATCCTTGTTTTCCAATTGAGTGAAATGTAGTCTTGTCTCAGTTTACTCTTTACCCATTAGCAGAACATTCATTTTTCAATATGAAGAAAATTTCATACGACATTAACCTTTTTAACTGATCAAAAGATTATCAATCCTCGAAAGATGATACTTGTTCTTCTTTGTTACCTTATTTAACAGACAATAATCCATACATAATTTCATAGACTCGTATTTTTCTTTTACAAAAACACTAGTGTTCCAGATGACACGCTTAGTCCTGTAAATCCCTGGTCTTAATAATTCTTCTAATTATGCCTTTAATTCTATGAGCTCAGTCAGAGTCATTCGATACGGCTATAAAAATAAACATAATACCGAGAGCATCTCTATTTTACTTTATATTGTAAAAAACACTCACACACTAAGTCTTTGACTTAGTGAGGCATAAACGAGCATAAGAAAACATTTAAAACATTCATGTAAATACTTCAAGAGAAACATTGAATACAAAAACAATATGCATTTCATAAAAATAACATATATTGTTCAATTCATATTAGTTTGTTTAAATAGCCCAACATATATCACTGAGAACTCAATGTATGTGAGTACTTTTAGATTGTGCAATGTATTGCAGTCGAAACTGTCACATAGAATTTGCACTGAAGTGCCACGTAGAATATGCACCAAGTACTACATAGATTTATCCCGAATGACTGCATAGAATTGTCCCGAATGACCACATAGAATTGTCCCGAAGGACCACGTAGAACCCTTAACTCTTGGCATGCCAATTATACCTATAATTCTCATAACACATACTTTGGCTTTAACCATATAATATTTCACATAACATCATTCAATTGATCATTTATTCACATAGAACTGATTCACATAGTAATGAAATCAAAATAGTTCTTTTGAAATAATATTTAAGTAAAATCATAACAATTCGTACAAATAACTATTCAAAATTCTACTTGAGTTAAAAATCATTGGAAGTCGATTCATCACAAATCTTCTTCCCTTATATTAATACATTAAAGTAGTATACACTCACCATTGCCTCACTTAAGCCCTAAGCAAAACCCTTTTCATTTTCGCTCAATCTCTTTATTGTTGCGATTCATTCGGTACTTGTTTTTGATCGAATGTACACATTAACATGACCAAGATTAATACCGAATCTAAATTAATTACTATCCAATCAGCATTTACATAAACTAAATTAAACATCTAATTTAAAATTTCAAGTTAAACAGTATCAGTACTCTACACCCAGTACCGATATTTCCCTTCTATGGTACCGATACTTACCTCACTATCGATACTCAAATTGCATTCTGGAATTTCATTTTCACTTACAGTATCAGTACCTTACAATTGGTATCGATACCTCCATATCAGTATCGATACTACTTCAATCAGTATCGATATTGTTCATCTGATTCATATAATTTCCTTCAATTTAACCTTATAGTATTAGTACTGTTCTTCCAGTACCGATACCCTTACACAAAATTCACTTATTTTTATTCGAATTTTACCTAAAATTCAATTAAATCTCTTACTATTAACTCCATTCATGCCCTTAAACTCATTAACACTTATCCCAACCAACTTGTATCCATTAATCCCCTTTTACATCCAAAATTCTCCATATAATACATAAAGCTAAAAATCATACTCATTCTTCAAACATGTTTCCAATATTTTCTAATACTTCAAACACCTTATTTAGACCTTTTTCAAGTCCAGTATATCTTTAAAATCTGATTACCAATCAATTTTCATCGATTCTCTCAAAAACCCATTTTACCAAATCACCATTAACTCATCAATCTCGTAGTTTCTAATCATCTTTAAGCTTTCTTAAGCTTCTATACCACCTAAGAAATCAAAACCAATTCAAAATGCAAAAAAAAAACCAACTTAAATTTTACTCACCTTAGCAATGGAGTTCACGAGGAAAAATGAAGAAGAGAAGATGAAGAGCATCTAGGCTTTTGTTTTTCCTTTTTATCCTTTTCCATCACATGTTATATAACAATTTAAAATGAATTTTAAATTCATTTCATGCCAAAAGACTATTTTCCCCTTCCATCATTCAATCTTTGATAATATGTCCTAAAAAAAATTCCAAATCAATCCTTGAACATTTCAATTTATCAAAATCAAACTGCTAAATTTTGAATTCTTACACTTTAATCATTGACCCTATGTTTTGGGGTATTATAGTCATTGTTATTTCGGATAAGCTTTCAAAAGTGGAAGAAATCCGAAGAAATGCTTATAAAAAATAACTGAATCTATGAAAAGGAAAAAATTAATGATTGTAAAATTTTACATAAAGAAGTTTTAGGTTGGACAAAAGCGTATGAAATATCTCTCGCCATTAAACATTCAAATTAATTAATTATGACTTGTGATCTTCATCTACAAACATATCAAAGGAAGAAATTGCCTTAAAGTATGTAGGCAATTTTATATTGAACGTATATACACAATTGGACACATGGGCCGTAGAAGTATCACCCAAAACCATTGATAAAACCTTTCAAAGAAGTACACCTACACAATGAACGTCAGATAATTGAAAAAGCACATTCATGTTTCGGTAACCATTTATGTACTCTTGTTTCAAGCGGTCAAATAATGTAAATAAGTCAGTCTAATGTGCCACATCAATCTTTTGTTATTAAGATAACATATGCGAACAATCGAGTACCGATTTATTATAAAATTATAATATTATTAATGACTTATTATATTTAAAACTTAAGTGATAAAGATAAATTTATTCATAGTTACATGATCATTTGTATAATTTATCTCTATAATTTAAATACTTATTTGTTAATTAAACCTTGTTAATACTTATAGATTAGTTTATTTAATTAGGGGTGAGCAAAACTTAACTTGACTCAAAAAATCGATTTTTTCGACTCGATTCGACTCGAAAAGATTTTACTCGAAAATTTCAAGTTCAAATCGAGTTGTAAAATGCAACCCAAATAACTCGAAATTTTAGTAATTAGTAGATTTGTTTTCAAGTTTAGTCTAGTCATTGGACTTTGTATGATATATATATCACATATGAAAAAAATACGAAGAAACATATTTGTATTGTACATATAATTATAGAAAGTCACTTAAAATTTAACCAAATAATATTATAATATTATAAATATTCACGATTAAATTTAAACATAAACTCAAAAATTCGACTTACTCGACTCAAATTTTAGAAACTCGACTCGAAATATTTCAAATCAACTCTGAGTTGTAAAATAGGACTCGTCAACTCAAATAACTAGAAATTTTTTTACTCGACTAGCTCAAAAAAATTTCAAGTCAACTTTGAGTTGTAAAATATAATTCATCAACTTAAATAACTCAAAATTTTTTAACTCGATCGAACGATCACTTCGAAATGTAGAGTTACAATACAAGTACACGTAGCCAAGGAATTTAGGGGCATGTGTTTGGTCAGAGACGGAGATAGTATGGAATTTCGGGAAAACGAGAGGGTACTTCAGTAAAGTGAGGCGAACGATTACGAAACGGTGAAATAGAAGGGTTTTCTCACCTAAAATTAAGCGCAATTATGTTTTCCGGCATTTAAATTTAGGATATATATATATATTAAAAAAAACCCTGCCCCTAACCTACATCATATTTCCTTATTTCCACAGTTTCTTCGCTTTACAGCTTCCCAAACCTCTCAGGTCTTTTTCTCTTGCCCAATCACTATTTTTTAAAGGAATATTCTTTATTATATTTTTCGCTTTTGAATTCATTAACTTGGATAATTTCTTTGACTAGATCTGTTAACCTTATAGCAGATCTGGGTTTTTACTGATGTTTATTTTGTTTTGTTCTTTTTTTGTACCGACTGAAAATTAAATGCGGCGGTGCTTATCTTTCAGGTGAAGAAATATGGCAGGAAAAGGTGGGAAGGGGCTTTTGGCGGCGAAAACAACCGCAGCTAACAAGGACAAAGACAAGGACAAGAAACGTCCTGTTTCTCGTTCATCTCGTGCCGGAATTCAGGTATTTCTCAAATTACTACCATTTTACTTTATTTTAAGACCAAAACAGTAGTTTTTCTTTTTTGATTTAAATTATGCATCCCAGTCTCTTTGGATGTCTTGTCATGAACTCCAAACAAAACGGTCAAGGAAAAAGGAGTAAATCTGAGGTTTTTGTGGTTTCTAAAAGTAGAACAAAGCAGCATATATGATTTCGAAGGAGTAATTTTATTGTGGTTTTTCATTGATTAAAAAAATCATGGATCTCTGGGTTTTTTTTTCTCTTTAGAATATGGTGCATTATTTTATTTTCGCTACCTTTGAAGATCGATACATTTGCAATCTGTTCATCTTTAGGATGCCAATGCACTGTGCTCCTTTAACACATGGATGAACGTTTATGTTAGATGAACTGAACGGCCAACTTATAAAATTCTAGACACAATCATATCTTTAATAGAAAATATCTAAAATATATAATAATTTGAAATTTCCAGGGATTACTGTCTCTGGTTGCCTTCTCGATCCATCCCGGCTTTAACATAGTGGTTAAAAGTCAAAATGTAGTTGTGATTAATTTGTTACTAAAGTTGTTGGGATGTTCTTTTCTACAGTTCTTCCATGGTAAAACATCCTTTTCCTGGGTTCTTTTTCACACTTTTGATTCTGTACTATATTAAAGATTCTTGTTAAGACTTGTCTTTTTGTTGGAGCTATTTTGAATGCTATAAGCAAGGAAGATTACATTTTTTTAATTCCTTTTTGTGACATGGGTCTTCATTGATCTGTTTCTTGAACATGGATGGGTAATTTAATCCCATGTTCATTTTCCCTTTTGATGTTAGTTCCCAGTGGGTCGAATCCATCGTCACCTAAAGACTAGGACATCTGCACACGGTAGAGTCGGTGCCACAGCTGCTGTTTACTTGGCCTCCATCCTCGAGTACCTAACAGCCGAGGTTCTCGAGTTGGCCGGAAACGCTAGCAAAGATCTGAAAGTGAAGAGAATTACTCCAAGGCATCTGCAGCTTGCCATTAGGGGTGATGAAGAGCTGGACACCCTTATCAAGGGTACCATTGCTGGAGGTGGTGTCATCCCTCACATCCACAAGTCCCTAATCAACAAAACTACCAAGGAGTAGATATATCTGATTCTAACTAGATCGTACGAGTTTGGACTACTTTTTTTTAATCTATTATGTGTTTAATGACTGCTCGTAGGCTTTAATTTAGTGGAGCTAATACATTTGGTCTGTAACTCAGTATATATGTTGTAATTCTCTAGGCTTGTTCCTGTTGAGCTGGGGATCTTTGTTTGTTGGATAGTTTTAACTTTTGCAGTGGTTTATTGTTTGTTTGCTCTTGAAGTTATTTCTGTTATATTTTTCTGCAACGATGTTGTCTTGGCTCTTGGCTTTGCTTAGTAACATGCATGGTACTCGTTATTAGGAGTGCATTTCGTTCTGGTCGATTTTTCGATTTCCTTACTCAGCCCTATTGGTTAGTCGCCCGAGTATGTCTATAATGATTTATAATAAACCATTAGTAAGGACTCATAAGGAAGATAAGATGCATTGTCTCTAATATTTTATACAGATTTTCGACACATAGGTAACTTTATCATAAAATCCAGTGAAAATACTGCATGGTTAGTGATTATTCTTTCTTCCGGTAAATGAAACAATTATGAAGCATTATATATGGAACATATACGTTAAGTTTCGGAACTCCAATTTGTATTTTTTTTATTAATCTGGGTAAATACAGGGTAATATATGTTTAAATATAATATTAATCTTTCGACATTGTACGCTCATACTCCTAATATTTATAGTGCTCAAAACTTGTATTTTAAATTATTTGAATTGAATTATTCGATTTGTCAGAGTTATTTGATTTGTTTAATATAATTTGTATTTTTTATTTGGATTTTGAGTTTGAGTTTTGATTTTATGAAGTTTGAATATCTAATATTGGTTTCTGTCTTGATCTTTAACTAAGTAATTTGATTATTCTGTGATTTGATTTTTTTTCTTTGTATTTTTAATCTCTTCTTAGTTTTAATTTTTTTTATCAATTTGAATTATATGTTCTTCAACTATTTATATAACTTTGATTTGTTTAATAATATTTTTTACAATTTAATCTCTTAATTTTATTCTTTCTTCAATTTGATTTTCTTTAATTATTTATAATTTATTTTTTCTTCAATTCATTGATATTTTCATTAATATTTTATCTTTAAAATATTTATTGTACAAATAATATTATAAATATATCATATAGTTTTAGATGATAATTTATTAAATAATACTATAAATTGAAACACGTCATAACTATTAAATAAATATTTCTATTTTTCAAAATAAATAATAGGAAAGAAGTATAGAGAAGTAGGATTAATTCACAGAGATTAAAGAGTTTTTAATGACGAATTATTTTGATCTTGTTTCAATGATTAAAGTAAAGAAGAAAGGGGTCTGAAATATAAAAATGAAAGTTTAAAAATGATGAAAATAAAATAAAAGTAAATTTTTGAGAAGTAATTAATAAGATGAAAATAGCGTCAAACTTCAGTTTGCCTCGATTTTAATTGATCATCGAAAGAAATTTAACTTTGGGGTACATGTTGGTTACAATCTACAAGGTTCAACCATTGTAATTTACTTTTCTCTCCAATAAATTGATATTCCCAATTCTATCTCCGGAATTTAGTCCTTGCTGAGTTAACCACGACTATCGTCGTTAACACTGATACAACTTTAAGCCCTGAAAAAGCCCGACTTGATTTATGGTGTCTCGATAAGAATCGAACTCAATTTTAATTCACCTTAGCTGATCGTCGCTAAGTTTATCTATAAGAAGTCGAATTACGACCAACTGATTCTTTCTCTTAACAGTAAATCAGATCAAAATTCAAACCAACGTTGATTTTTTTTAAATGAAAGTGTCAAGATTTTTAAAGGAAAGATCGATTGTGAATCTAAGTTTTCAAAAAATAAAGAATGTCATCGTAAGATATTAAGTGCATTTTAATTTTCACAACAGGAATTGAGTGATCACTAAGTCTTTGTCTAAATAAAAATTTAGCTTAGCATGATTGTAATCATACTTAGTATTTTTTAAAAATAAAATAAAAATTAAAAAATGAAAAGTTTAAACCCCGAGAGAATTTTATAAATCAAAAGAAAAAGAAAGAATAAAATATCCTAAAGATAGAATATCTTTAAAAATAGTCCAAAAAATAAATCCTAAAGTATTTTTCAAATTCAAACTTAAATTCCTAAGATATTTCCGTTCGTCCAACTTCCAGAAGATGCTGAGTGAACTTCCTTCTAGAAACCGTTGTTGATAGGATAATCCAAATCTGTCACATTAGAGAATGTTGTGTCCCAGGATTCCAATCACAATTCTAGAAATAAATAAATGTAGAATCCGTTCTTTTACTATTGGTTCTAAAAAATAAGTTCCTACACAAAAATAAGTCAAAACAGAACCAAATCGATAATATCAAACCAACAACGAAGAATAATTATTAAAAGATATATGCAAATTCGAACCCTCGTCATAAATTCTAGTTACACATAAAATAAGTAAAAAATATGTATATTGTATAATTTTAAAGATAGTTGTTTAACTTAAAATTAATTAGTATTTTAATATTACAAATAATTTATATGAATTTGAATAGAAATTTATATAATATATATTCAAGTCTTTTTAATTTGAAAAAAAACTAAAGAAGATTTAAAAGATAAAATAATAATTATAAACTTCATTAACTTAAATTCTTTTATTCAATTTGGCTTGATTGAATATTCTTTCAAAACTTATCAAATGCTTTACCTCAATTTTTTGCTCTTAATTTGAGTCGACATAGATTATGCTTTATTGCCTATTTCAGTCATTTAGCTATATACGATTAATAAAATTTAATCTAATTATTCATTTGAAATCAATCAATTAAAAATGGTGATTTGCTCTGTTCGAATAACGAGGTAATGAATTAATAGTTATAAATTACTAAAAAAATGAAAATTGGAGTCTATATATGGATCATTTATCATGTCGAAACATTTTTTTTAATTTTTTTATATTATTTTTCTATTTAATAATTATTAAAATATTTTAATTGATTAAATTAAAAATTGAGTCCGATTGATTTTATCTTCAATCCAAAGTCTAACGACATTAGAGAACGGAGAAAGCTTTGACTCGCCAAGATCAACCAAGCATGACCGTCATAAATTGAGTTCGATCAACCAAGCATGAGTGTAATATTATTGAGGTCGGCGGTGTCCTATACATAAAACGAATAGAAGTTCGAATAAATTGTTAATGAATTATTCGTATATTTATGATCTTTTATTAAATTAATAAAATAAGTATAAACAAATATTTTATGTTTATTTAATAAAAGAACGAACATAAAAAGATGTTCGATTTGTTTATATTCATGAACATGATTGTTTGAAAGTTTATTTGTTAACTCATTTATTTATTTATTTTGATGATTTTATGATAACTATAAGGTAATATACGTTTAAAGACTTTCAACAATTTTTAATTTTCATCAATTTTAAATATGTTCGTGCATGCGTGTACGTTAAAAGAACATGTTAGCAAACTTATAAATAAATATATTCACAAATACTAAACATTTCGAATACAAACACATTAAAATATAAACAAACTAAGATGAATATAAACATATTCAAAAAATAAATAATCAAATTGACAAACTTGAAATTGTCAAATAAATATAACGATGCATTATAAACATGAAATGATGCTATAAATAAAAAAAAATATAATTATTAAAAAGATAATGGTGATGTGAACGCTAATTATTTTCACATAAGATAATTTTGTTGATGTGTCAATCAAGTGACATGACATTAACAAAAAAAAATTAAGTAAACAGTTACATAAAACTAACCCTAAAACTAATATGCTTACATCGTGATAATCCCATTTCCTTCATCGTCATCTCCAGTCAGGTAAGGGATTTTGAATGGAGAGATTTGCCCCTGTGATGAAAGAAATGGAGAGATTAACCAAAAAAAAATTTAAAACCCCAACTTGAAACAAGGAATCAAGGATCAAAGAGAAAATTTATCAAACAGGTAGTAGGTGTAAAGAAAGAAAGAAAGGGGAAACAATAGAATACACGATTTATTAACAGAAAAAAGTAAAAACCCGGACCAGATTTATTAACAAAAAAACACATTAATCATAAACCAATCAGAAGAATTTTGAATTAAATGAGATGAATCCAATAATTAGTAGTAACACAACAATAACGGTAATACAAGAAGCAACGAAAAAGGAGGATAAATTACTAAATATAATCCACCAACCCCAGAAATATTCAATAAACAAACAAATTCTCTTCCAAAACACAATATGAAAATTTTGAAAAACAAGTTAAAAATTGATAGAAATCTGGGTTCATAATACAAACCTAACCCCACCAGTAAAGGGTTTTAAAAGGAAAATGAACACAAAGTTTAAGAAGAGGTGATCCTTGATTCCTAGCTTCAAGTTGAGGTTTTCACTTTTTTTTTGTTAATCTCTTCATTTCTTTCAAGTTGAGATTTGTCTTGAAGAGGAAATTACTGGAACTAATGAAGCTATAAATATTGTGGACACTGGTTTTGAAGAGTGGTAAAGGAACGATGAAGGGCATTAGTTTTAGGGTTAGCTTTATAGCCCGTGTAATTGTTTACTTTTTTTTATTGTTATTGTAATATCACCCAGGTGACACATCAGCAAAGTTATCTTAGATGAAAATAATTGATCTCTATGTCCAAAAACTAACAGTTCTGTTAGTCGAAACGGTCAAATGTAGAAATTGATGCAATTAAATAACATCAAAGATAAAATTGATATTAAAATACGAGGTTATAAATGAAAATAAAGTATAATTATTAAAAAGATAATGGGAAAAAGAAAAATATAAAGAAAGATAGGTATGCTAGGCATACTAAGAATAATTATGATGATTGTATGAAAGAAATATGGTTTAACTGAGAATGACTGATCTGATCCTTATAGAGTATGCGATTTAATTTGTTATTAAATAACCATGAGATACTTATGTATAAATTACAGTTTCTTTACAATATTATGTCTCACTAAGTAAATACTTAACATGTGTTGATTTCACAATTAGATAAAAACAAAGACTAGTCGGGTACGGGGTGCAGTAGGAGCTATCATCAATCTAAGGTTGACTCTCATCAGTAACAGTAGGACAATCATGTTTATTTTGATAATTTGCTGGCATGTAATCGAAATTAAGAA